TCGTCCAAAATGCTGGAAGCATGCCTTCCGTCTATCACAACATGATCGATTTGATCTCCTAATTATTACTGTCCCTGGAATTTACTGAGATGTCGTTCGGGTTCATATATTGGGGCATATTCATAGTCAGAAAGTAGTCCCTAACTTTACTTAGGGCCGATTTCAAATGAATATTTAAGTGGCACTTAAGTTTAATTGTGGATTGCAGTTTAAATTCCATTTAACTTTCAGGTTTCAGATCAACTTTGTTTAAATATGCCAAACATTTGGCAGCACTGCTGATTGTTCCTTGAAATTGTTGTTGCATTTGCTTGTTTGTTTACATTTTGTGCATTTGAAATATGCTTTGCCAAACTTTCCACAATTCTTCATAGCTGAATCTCTGAATATTTCAACTACATTACCGACGTACCTAGAATCGTGGTGACAAGAACTGGTAACATTTCTTGGTAATGAAATCTTTCAGCTACAAAATCTTCCGTAACGTGCAGAATAGACCTGTAAACGTGTTTTAATTGTTGTAAATTGTAAATATATATAATTTATAATAAGAATTAATAAGGAAAATGTGAAAAAATTGTGAATTTCCTGCAAGTATTAGTGAATTTCAGTGAATTTAAAGTTTGTGAAGCGTCGTTTACTTCTAGTCTAGAATTGTCAAAATCGACAAAACCAAAATAGTGGTATGTCAGACGCACCTTTGTTCGCTGCTTCGTGATCTCACAGGCTAACCTAAGGCTATCTGCACACTTGTCGTCCAATCATGGTTGCGTTATCCTCTCGCCCTGAAATTTTGAGACAAACACATGCATTTCAATGGAAGTCTGCACACTTGTCGTTATCAGCTAGTTATCGGCAAATCGTAAAGGATGCAGAAACGGATGAGTACGAAACTGTCGTTTGCTAATCGTTATGCACGCATTGTTTGTTTAAAATTTATGGGAAAAAAATTAGTAAAAAAGCTAATATTTGCATTAAAATTACATAAAAATTAGTATTTCTGAGGATTGAGGATTTGTTTAACTTTGAGTTGTTAACTTAAGAGTTAATTCAACACGACAACATCTTCCTTCTGTACCATAACAACTTTTGGACTTACATGAAACAATATTTTACTACGTTCCAAATGAACCTAAAATAATGTGCTTGTACCAAATGCACGTTCAAATTTAAGAAGCTGAAGACTAGGTACAATTCAACCTAGTTTTACGTCACTATTCCGCACCACTTATTCGCTTCTTCCTCTTCTTCTAAATTATTTTTCACACTCTCTTTCTCATAATAATGTGACGTCTCACTGAGCTGCTCTCAGCTCGATTGGCGCTATCTTGTATTCTATCATTCTTGCAAAAAATCGACTTTTTTCACTCTATTGTTCTTGCGTGATATTGTGTAGTTCGTTCATGTTATATCTTCTTAACTAAATTCTGCAGTGCGGGAACAGACTAACTGATTACATTGAGAGATTATGAGCTCTGTGCGGACCATAATTACACCCCTGTTTCACATGTTCAGCAAAAAATATCCAGTAACTTGCCAGTAACCAAATTTCGGATTGTAAACCAATATTTACTCCCAAAGAGAGAAATATGCAAGAGAGTACGAAAACGCATAACCAGCTAGAAGTAGGAGGTTTTATGAACAGCTGATTAATTTGTTATTTTCCGAAGAAATTTTCTAAAAAAAATTAGTATTTCCCATATTTTTATATATTTAAACTAGCAGACCCGGCGAACTTCGTCCCGGCCAAAATTAATTTTTTTTATTGAAACATTTTGGTCCAGCATTTTCACCAACAATTCACGTTCACGATTTCCAGTGATGCATTTATCTGCTAATATTACGATTTAGTGGTTGTCAGAAGGCATATTTCCATTACCGTCTTAAATAACCTAGCAAAAGTATGTCCGTAAAGGAGGTCTTGAAATTCTCCAATGATCTGGCGTTTCACATCACGGTTAACTACACAACGAAATAAATTTGAAGAACTTTTTCCTCTACACTCCCTCGCGGGAACAATGATCCGGTTCGACGGTGAATCTGTCCTAAACTGTATTTTGTTGGTGGGTGAGTATCGTTGCTATACAGAAATCCTAAATGTCTTATTAAGGGCCGCAATGGTTCTTATGGTTGATTTAACGGTGGTCACTTGAGATTGACGCCTGGACAACTCAATCCTGCCAATCGGAACACACGGGAGTTCGACATACTCGGCGGTACAGCACGTCGATGTAATCGGACATACCTGGCACTTTTCCTCGCTTGATGATTTTTAGTAACAACTCGACTCCAGCGCTACCCGGCGGCTCTTTTTTGTAGTACCACTACATATCTTGAATATGGGTCGAATTGGGTCATAAATACGATTTTTAGTAAAATCTGGACTCCCGAGCCACTTGGCGGGCAGATTTCTTTGCAAAAATATTTTCCCTTATGATGCTAATACATATTTCGTATATAGGCCAGATCGGTTCATAAGTAAGATTTTTAGTAACAACTCGAGTTCAGCGCCACCTGGCGGGTCAAACTGTGAATCTAACAATGCAAAGACCCACTCAACCACACAAAAAATTTCGTTAAAATCGGTTCACTCACAAACATACGTACAGAAGAATTATATGCACGCACAAAGATACGTAATAGTTTCAGTATGTTTGAAAGGCGCCACGCCCCTTTTCCAAATAGCCCCAATTTTCTCTACAAATATGGGATTGACTTCATACCAGGTTCGATTACTCTACCATGAACACTTCCAGAGATATGCAGTATGAAAAAGCGGTTTGTAAAGAATATTTCCACGCCCCGTTTTCCAAACACATCAATTTTTTCCATGAGTACGCGATAGATTTCATACATGTACATACCAAGTTCCAGTACTCTACACTTCCAGAGATATGCAGTATGAAAAGTTCAATTTGTATGTGAGGTGCCACGCCTCTTTTTCCAATAGCCCCAATTTTTCTTCATGACTATGTGATTGATTTTATATATGTATCTTGTACATATCAAGTTCCAATTCTCTACCATGAACATTTCCAGAGGTATGCAGTGTGAAAGATTCGGTTTGTATGGGAGGTGCCACGCCCCCTTCACTTAGCATTATGAAATATACTTTACATCTGATTCTCATACCTACCAAATATACGCAACGAATTTTGTCAATTGCAACTATAAGAGCCGCACAAATAATTATTTCTTAGTGTCAATTGCTTTAAGCATCATGTCATCAGCTGTTTTCCTTGCTGGCAAATAGTTACTAGTAAAATTGTATCCAGTAAAACTTGCAATTCCTGCTATCATTTTTGTTCTCTAAATTTCCCCTCTTTTTCTAGTTTATTGCAAGATTTCCATGCGAAAACAGGGCTTATGCCCTGCACTGCAATGTAAGCATAACCAGCACTTAACTCGGTGCTCGGTAATTTTCCCTAATAAATCAATTCATAAAACGTCGCAAAGTGGCATTTTTGACGAAATGGCAATGTTACGAACAAAGTTGTATGAACGACTTATCGCAACTCCGTATTGCAAATGTAACATTTTTTAAAAATGCCGCACGTTAGAGAAAAAGAAAATTTTTTACAATTATCTTTCGAAGCAGCCTTAACTGATATACTTTTTCTTGACGTATTCGAAGACAATAAAAAAACATGTGTTGGCGACTTTTACTTTGCAATGATTGGCAGCCCAAATACAATGGCAATGTCGCAATTTTGTCGCCAGAAAGTTTCCATACAAAAGTAATCAGCTGTGTCGCATGGTGGCAAGTTTTGTAACAAATACGACATTTGCAACAACTTTGCGTCGTTTCATGAATCCCACTGATGTATTTTGTTTTCGTGCTTCGGTGTGAAGGTCCCTAGTATTTATTGACGTGATTCAAGTATGGCGATATTTATTGACCGTATAGCATGCATTATTGATGGATCGTGCTGCGGACTGCAAAATATTTAAAGGGTCTTCACATCTTTTTCGGTGGTTTTGGTAAACTGCTAGTTGGTACTCGGTAATTTTATCAACTACATATGAGCCAGTGATGGAAAAGTAGGCACAATTGTACTTTTATCAGATCTTTTATAATTTGAAAGTACATTCGGTTCATAAGCTAATATTATGTTCACATATAAAGTGATTAGCAATAAATTTGCGTTAACTAATCTATCCGTTCACATATAGGAGATTGACTGCAAAATTTACAATCAGCTGTCAAGGTTGTTTTGACAAGTTTTTTGTTCATGAACGTTAGTTTTGTGAAACATTTAAGTGTTTTTCGTTTGCTAAATTATTATTAATTAAACAGGTCCACAAAAAAAATCGATGAAAGGTTCCTTTGACCAAACCAAGTCTGTTATATGTTTTTGGGGTCGCTGAACACGAATCTGAAGTCCGTTTTGACAACTAATACGTATATCTTCATTGTCTTGACAGCATTGTCCAATGTAAATGCGCCGTTAAATGTCCAATATTGGCTATATAAATATGAGATATGCAACCCTGTGTTTGTACCAAACAACCAAGACTGATTGGTACGTTGTTTAATGAATCCCACCAAATCCTTCCAAAAACCAATCAGCTGTTCAGCACAAAATGTAAGCAAACAAGCAAATGCAACAACAATTTCAAGGAACAAACAGCAGTCCTGCTAACTGTTTGGCATATTTAAACAAAGTTGATCTGAAACCCAACGAAAGCTAAATGGCATTTAAACAACAATCCACAATTAAACTTAAGTTCCGTTCAAATATTCATTTGAAATTGTCCCTGAGTGTCGACTTCATTTTGGCTATGTATACGCCTTCTTCAATTACATATATCTCACAGCAAGAATGATAGAATACAAGACTGCGCGGCCCTGGCCGCGATGACATTTCTGCAACAAAGCCGAAATGGATGTTAAAAGAAAATGCCACAAGAGCAAATTCTCTTAATATTCAGTTTTTCGACAGTAACTTCGACAGTCTATTCTGTGCTGATAATACAAATTTTTTAACTGGTAAATATAGTTCCGGTCAATTTTTAAACCCTTTTCGCGTTCTGTATCCTCTTGTAACCGATAAATTTTGTTGCCATGTCATAAGCTGGTATCAAAGTATTGCCCCGTGAAATATGCTTTGCCAAACTTTCCACAATTCTTCATAGCTGAATCTCTGAATATTTCAACTACATTACCGACGTACCTAGAATCGTGGTGACAAGAACTGGTAACATTTCTTGGTAATGAAATCTTTCAGCTACAAAATCTTCCGTAACGTGCAGAATAGACCTGTAAACGTGTTTTAATTGTTGTAAATTGTAAATATATATAATTTATAATAAGAATTAATAAGGAAAATGTGAAAAAATTGTGAATTTCCTGCAAGTATTAGTGAATTTCAGTGAATTTAAAGTTTGTGAAGCGTCGTTTACTTCTAGTCTAGAATTGTCAAAATCGACAAAACCAAAATAGTGGTATGTCTGACGCACCTTTGTTCGCTGCTTCGTGATCTCACAGGCTAACCTAAGGCTATCTGCACACTTGTCGTCCAATCATGGTTGCGTTATCCTCTGGCCCTGAAATTTTGAGACAAACACATACATTTCAATGGGAGTCTGCACACTTGTCGTTATCAGCTAGTTATCGGCAAATCGTAAATGATGCAGAAACGGATGAGTACGAAACTGCCGTTTGCTAATCGTTATGCACGCATTGTTTGTTTAAAATGTATGGGAAAAAATTAGTAAAAAAGCTAATATTTGCATTAAAATTACATAAAAATTAGTATTTCTGAGGATTGAGGATTTGTTTAACTTTGAGTTGTTAACTTAAGAGTTAATTCAACACGACAACATCTTCCTTCTGTACCATAACAACTTTTGGACTTACATGAAACAATATTTTACCACGTTCCAAATGAACCTAAAATAATGTGCTTGTACCGAATGCACGTTCAAATTTAAGGAGCTGAAGACTAGGTACAATTCAACCTAGTTTAACATCACTATTCCGCACCACTTGTTCGCTTCTTCCTCTTCTTCTAAATTATTTTTCACACTCTCTTTCTCATAAAAATGTGACGTCTCACTGAGCTGCTCTCACCTCGATTGGCGCTATCTTGTATTCTATCATTCTTGCAAAAAATCTACTTTTTTCACTCTATTGTTCTTGCGTGATATTGTGTAGTTCGTTCATGTTATATCTTCTTAACTAAATTCTGCAGTGCGGGAACAGACTAACTGATTACATTGAGAGATTATGAGCTCTGTGCGGACCATAATTACACCCCTGTTTCACATGTTCAGCAAAAAATATCCAGTAACTTGCCAGTAACCAAATTTCGGAGTGTAAGCCAATATTTACTCCCAAAGAGAGAAATATGCAAGAGAGTACGAAAACGCATAACCAGCTAGAAGTGGGAGGTTTTATGAACAGCTGATTAATTTGTTATTTTCCGAAGAAATTTTCTAAAAAAAATTAGTATTTCCCATATTTTTATATATTTAAACTAGCAGACCCGGCGAACTTCGTCCCGGCCAAAATTAATTTTTTTTATTGAAACATTTTGGTCCAGCATTTTCACCAACAATTCACGTTCACGATTTCCAGTGATGCATTTATCTGCTAATATTACGATTTAGTGGTTGTCAGAAGGCATATTTCCATTACCGTCTTAAATAACCTAGCAAAAGTATGTCCGTAAAGGAGGTCTTGAAATTCTCCAATGATCTGGCGTTTCACATCACGGTTAACTACACAACGAAATAAATTTGAAGAACTTTTTCCTCTACACTCCCTCGCGGGAACAATGATCCGGTTCGACGGTGAATCTGTCCTAAACTGTATTTTGTTGGTGGGTGAGTATCGTTGCTATACAGAAATCCTAAATGTCTTATTAAGGGCCGCAATGGTTCTTATGGTTGATTTAACGGTGGTCACTTGAGATTGACGCCTGGACAACTCAATCCTGCCAATCGGAACACACGGGAGTTCGACATACTCGGCGGTACAGCACGTCGATGTAATCGGACATACCTGGCACTTTTCCTCGCTTGATGATTTTTAGTAACAACTCGACTCCAGCGCTACCCGGCGGCTCTTTTTTGTAGTACCACTACATATCTTGAATATGGGTCGAATTGGGTCATAAATACGATTTTTAGTAAAATCTGGACTCCCGAGCCACTTGGCGGGCAGATTTCTTTGCAAAAATATTTTCCCTTATGATGCTAATACATATTTCGTATATAGGCCAGATCGGTTCATAAGTAAGATTTTTAGTAACAACTCGAGTTCAGCGCCACCTGGCGGGTCAAACTGTGAATCTAACAATGCAAAGACCCACTCAACCACACAAAAAATTTCGTTAAAATCGGTTCACTCACAAACATACGTACAGAAGAATTATATGCACGCACAAAGATACGTAATAGTTTCAGTATGTTTGAAAGGCGCCACGCCCCTTTTCCAAATAGCCCCAATTTTCTCTACAAATATGGGATTGACTTCATACCAGGTTCGATTACTCTACCATGAACACTTCCAGAGATATGCAGTATGAAAAAGCGGTTTGTAAAGAATATTTCCACGCCCCGTTTTCCAAACACATCAATTTTTTCCATGAGTACGCGATAGATTTCATACATGTACATACCAAGTTCCAGTACTCTACACTTCCAGAGATATGCAGTATGAAAAGTTCAATTTGTATGTGAGGTGCCACGCCTCTTTTTCCAATAGCCCCAATTTTTCTTCATGACTATGTGATTGATTTTATATATGTATCTTGTACATATCAAGTTCCAATTCTCTACCATGAACATTTCCAGAGGTATGCAGTGTGAAAGATTCGGTTTGTATGGGAGGTGCCACGCCCCCTTCACTTAGCATTATGAAATATACTTTACATCTGATTCTCATACCTACCAAATATACGCAACGAATTTTGTCAATTGCAACTATAAGAGCCGCACAAATAATTATTTCTTAGTGTCAATTGCTTTAAGCATCATGTCATCAGCTGTTTTCCTTGCTGGCAAATAGTTACTAGTAAAATTGTATCCAGTAAAACTTGCAATTTCAGCTATCATTTTTGTTCTCTAAATTTCCCCTCTTTTTCTAGTTTATTGCAAGATTTCCATACGAAAACAGGGCTTATGCCCTGCACTGCAATGTAAGCATAACCAGCACTTATCTCGGTGCTCGGTAATTTTCCCTAATAAATCGATTCATAAAACGTCGCAAAGTGGCATTTTTGACGAAATGGCAATGTTACGAACAAAGTTGTATGAACGACTTATCGCAACTCCGTATTGCAAATGTAACATTTTTTAAAAATGCCGCACGTTAGAGAAAAAGAAAATTTTTTACAATTATCTTTCGAAGCAGCCTTAACTGATATACTTTTTCTTGACGTATTCGAAGACAATAAAAAAACATGTGTTGGCGACTTTTACTTTGCAATGATTGGCAGCTCAAATACAATGGCAATGTCGCAATTTTGTCGCAAGAAAGTTTCCATACAAAAGTAATCAGCTGTGTCGCATGGTGGCAAGTTTTGTAACAAATACGACATTTGCAACAACTTTGCGTCGTTTCATGAATCCCACTGATGTATTTTGTTTTCGTGCTTCGGTGTGAAGGTCCCTAGTATTTATTGACGTGATTCAAGTATGGCGATATTTATTGACCGTATAGCATGCATTATTGATGGATCGTGCTGCGGACTGCAAAATATTTAAAGGGTCTTCACATCTTTTTCGGTGGTTTTGGTAAACTGCTAGTTGGTACTCGGTAATATTTAGTCTGTTCCTTTGAACTTCGGACTAAAACCTGTGGAACTGTCAAACTACAATTTTACTCTCTCAAATGAGAGTAAAAGGAGAACAGATGCAGAAGTGCATAGGAACGCAAAAAGCACTATTTCCTGTAAAAACGTCAGTCGGTTTGTTTACATGTCATTTGTACAACACTGATTTAGCTGAAATATCACTAAATAATTATTAAAATCTATACATATTCAAACATTTCGTTGTTTACTTCCATTTTTTTTACAAATATAAGGTACTTTGCTTTCACCGCTGTTAGTTTTTGCTTGCACATGCAAATCAGCTGATCGTTTGACACTTTTCATGAACTTACAGGAAAAGAAACTCCGGACTAATACCTGTAACTTCTGACTAGGAACAGTTGCTCAGTTACTCTCTCAAATGTGTTCCCACTTACAGGTTTTATGTCAATAGGAACGACTTCCTGTAAGTTCCGACTAAATCCTGTAAACCGGACTGCTATTGGAACAGACTATTTATCAACTACATATGAGCCAGTGATGGAAAAGTAGGCACAATTGTACTTTTATCAGACCTTTTATAATTTGAAAGTACATTCGGTTCATAAGCTAATATTATGTTCACATATAAAGTGATTAGCAATAAATTTGCGTTAACTAATCTATCCGTTCACATATAGGAGATTGACTGCAAAATTTACAATCAGCTGTCAAGGTTGTTTTGACAAGTTTTTTGTTCATGAACGTTAGTTTTGTGATACATTTAAGTGTTTTTCGTTTGCTAAATTATTATTAATTAAACAGGTCCACAAAAAAAATCGATGAAAGGTTCCTTTGACCAAACCTAGTCTGTTATATGTTTTTGGGGTCGCTGAACACGAATCTGAAGTCCGTTTTGCCAACTAATACGTATATCTTCATTGTCTTGACAGCATTGTCCAATGTAAATGCGCCGTTAAATNCTAGGAAAAAATCTAGACGTGATGGAGCAAAACGGACTTCAGATTCGCGTTCAGCGACCCCAAAAACATATAATAGATGTGTAATTGATAACACAGATGCACAAAAAAAAATCGATGAAAGGTGCCAAACATGGCCTATTATATGTTTTTTTGTTGACCTGTGTTATTAACGATTTGGAAAGAAGGCAAAAAGATGCAATAGTTCAGTTAATTGCTTCCAGTAATAGGCAGTTGGAAGAGACCCGAAAAAAGCGGCTACTGAGATTGAAAAAAATTATTGCAGCAATACGCATGCGAAATTCTTTATTATATCTTATAATAAGGAATAACACGCCAAAGCGTCTGTGGACACACGTAAGCAATTATATCTGCTATTTTTTTTATTAGTGAATAAAATAATCAACGCGTATACGTGTATTGTAGGCGAGGGCACGGCAAGTTCTGGGAGTCTGACATTCCTACCAGCAGCGACCAATTTTTTTAAGGAGTGCTTTAGAATGAGCCGCGAATCCTTCGCCGTTTTATGCAA